TTCATACCACATATGGAGTGAGCTCTCTGTACTCCAACTTTTACCCCCAGCGCATAAATCACGTATCTTCCGTAGAAGTTATCGTTTTCCAAGATCATCTATATTTAGAAAGGATTAGAAAGGAATCCCTCGAGAAATACAGAACGAAGCTATAACCGTCATGTTGGTTGAATAAACAGGAGGAGCTAAGGAATGCTATGCTATTTTTTGCACCAATATACGAATCTGAGAATTACCAGCCCGTGATTACAATGATAACTCGAGATATGGGTACTAGTTGTACGCTCATGGTTGACAAAATCATTTAGTTATCTCGYGTCCCTAAATCCAGCACCAGAAATTAAGTAGTGTATCACCTCACTGTAACGGTTTCCTAAACCTATTAAAAGTCCCACTTCTCTCCAACGTACTCTCTTAGCACCCAAATAACTATGAGCAGTCCCTAACATGTATTGTTGTCTTTTCAGAATGATAACGACTGAGTAAAGTCTTGGTACATAACAGAGGGATGTGATTTTCTAATTGATATGATTTGTTAGTCAATAAAGTATTTATCCTTCCTTTTCGCACTCCTTCTTTTATTGYCTCTTTATTTATCTTGACTTCCCTTCTTCCTTTCCTCTCTCTCTCCCTCCTTTCCTCCTTCCCTCCTTCAATATTATAAACTAATTACGATTTTGAGACGACAATACCACGAAATATTGACGGCTAGTTGGAAGAAAATATATTCGGTATTGGGCGAAGTCACGAAGCGACTCGGCCCAATACCGAATATATTTTCTTCCAACGCCGTCAATATTTCATGGTGCAGTCGTCTCAAAATCGCAATTAGTTTTGTATCGCGATTCTAAAGAATTTAACACACACACACACACACACACAAAAACAGGGGAAAAAAACTGACCGGTTTTCTTTGATTAAAAGCAAAATTCTCCTTACGAGCACGCTATGGAGCAAGGAACAAGCTTTCCTCTTCATCGCGCGTTAGCCAATCAAAAACCTTAATTTTGAAATGACAATACCCGGACAAAACATTGTCATCTCAAAAAAATATAAAAGACTATTTAGTGAATGGCTATACTCCAATCTATTCATAATAAATAATGAGAATTGAAAAATGATTTCAAAGAGTAGCTTTTCTACCACTGGATTSCAATTGAAATTTAGAAGATGATTTCGTGACGCGAACATTTCTAACGTTGACATCAATATCCGTGAATAAGAGCTCAAAAGTATGAAGTCAACTACGGGGTGAATACAAAATTAGCAATAGCATACCTTCAAACAAAACCTGAAGCTGAACTACTTTTCAAAGGCCAACTAAGACTTCTTTACTTTATTTCACATGTTGACGATTTGAGGTATCAAGAGCAAAGGTCCACTAATATCGAGCATCGGCCGGTCACGGTCAAAATTTCGATTTTGCTCATTTTTGGTTTGCTGGAAGGTATTATCGAGTAAACAAACGTGGTGTAGTTAGTTTTTCAAAAAACCGCTAAAAATCTGAGAAATCCGAGAAAA